GAGGGCAGGGGAATGGGGAAAAAATAAAAACCAAGATACATCATGTAAAGGTACAAGATCCCAATGATGAATGTAACTGTATTGTATACCTAAAATGTACCAATAAACTAAATGGAAAAAAAAAGAATTAAGTTTATAAACCAAAAGTACCACACTGTATATTGAAGGAGTGGTGAGAGTTGACAATCTTGTCTCATCTCTGACTTTAGGGGAAAAGCTTTCGGTTTTTTCCCATTTAGTATGATGTTTACCTTTGGTTTGTCATAAGTGGCTTTTATCATGTTGAGATAAAGTTCTTCTGTGACTATCTTTGTCATAGTTTAAAAAATTTATTTATTTATTAGTACATGTTTGTAGCATATAATGTTTACATTTCTACATTCTTGATCCTCTTTTGAGAAAAATCTCTCTACTTCCTATTATTTTTAATTTTGTCCTTTATTAAAACTGGCTTTCTCATAAAAGAGAGGCCATGCAATATTTAAGCTTATGTGTCTGATTTATTTCACTTACCATTATGGTCTCAAGGTGCATCTATTTTCCCACAAATGACTCAAGTTTATCTTTATGTCAGAGTAGTACTCCATTGTTTTATCAGAGTTTTTTTTTATGATCACGAATGGATATTGGATTTTGTTAATGGCTTTTTCTGTGTCTATTGAGATGATTATGTAGTTTTTATCTTTGTTTCTGTTTATGTGATATTTTACATTTATTGATTTATGTACATTGAACCATCTTTGTATCCCTGGGATGAAGCCTACTTGATCATCATCTATGATCTTTTTAATGATTTGTTTCATTCTGTTTGCCAGGGTCATTTTGAGGATTTTTGCACCTATGTTTGTTGAAGAGATTGGCCTATAGTTTTTTCTTTTTGCTTTTTTTCTTTTACTTTTTTTGTTGTTGTTAAGTCCTTGTCTGGCTTTGGTATTAGGGTAATGCTAGCTTTCAGGAGTGAGTTTTACAGTACTCCTTCCCTTTCAATTGCATTGAAGAGTATGAAGAATATTGGTATTAGATTTTGCCTGAAGTTCTTAGAGAAGTCAGCAGTGAATCTGTTGGTTACTGAGCTTTTCTTGGTAGGTTTTTAATTATGGCTTCAATTTCATTTCCTGTTATTGGAGTGTTTAGTTTTACATCTTCTTGGGTCAGTTTTGGTAATTCATATGTGTCTAGAATCTGTCTATTTCTCCTAGATTTTCCAACTTATTGGAGTAAATGTTTTCAAAGTAGTTATTTATAATCTTCTGGATATTGGGGGTGTCTATTTTGATTTCTTTTTTATTCAAATCTCATTGCATTGATATGAGTTTTTTTTCTTCTTCTTCTTCTTTTGGTAAGGTTGTCTAAGAGATTTTCTACTTTGCTTATACTTTCAAAGAACCAGCTTTTTGATTCATTGATTTTTTTGGTATAGTTTTTTAGTCTCAACTTAATTAATTTCTGCTCTGATCTTTATAATTTTCTTCTTTGAACTAATTTTAGGTTTAGATTATTCTTGTCTTTCTAGGACCTTGAGGGCATAATTAGGATATTTACTTGGGATTGCTCTGTTTTTCTAATGTGGGCATTCACAGCTATAAACTTCCCCCTTAGAATAGCATTTTTTATATTCCCTAGGTTCTAGCATGTTGTAATGGCATTCATTATCTTTTTATGCTAGGAAGTATTTGATTTCTTCTTTGTTTTCTTCTGTGACCTATTGATTATCCAAAAGTGTAATGTTTAATCTCCATGTGTTTACATAATTTCTGTAGTTTCTCTTGCCATTAATTTCGAGCTTCATTGCCCTATGATTTGATAATATGTATGGAATTTTTTTATTCTTTGATATTTATTTAAGCAAGGTTTGTGACCTAGTATGTGGACTATTTTGGAGAAAGTTCTATGTGCTGCTGAAAAGAATATGTTGTTGGATTAAAAATTCTATAGATCTATTAGGTCCCTTTGTTTGAAGGTGTGGTTCAGCTCTGATATTTCTTTGTTGATTTTTGTCTAGTTGATCTATTTGAGAGTGAGGTATTGAGGCATAATTTTGTTGATGCTTTTCTGATCTTTGTGCCACATAGTATTTGTGTTATGAAGTTGCATGTGCTGGTGTTCAGTGCATATACATTTACAATTGCTATCTCTTTCAGTTGAACTGTTCCCTTTACAGGTATGTAGTGACCTTTGTCTCTTCTGATCAGTTTTGGCTTGACATTTACTTTGCTGAGAATAGGATAACTACTCCTGCTTTACTCTCTCTCTCTCTCTCTGTGTGCACTGAGGGTTGAGATTCAAGTAGAGTGGAAAGACTTTGTTGCTAGTGTGGACATCTCTTATTAGTATCTGCTTCCCAGTGATGTGATTTTCACTTTGTTTGCATTTTGGTATTTATCTACCTCTTTGAGCTACTCAGTTTAATAGGATTGGACCCCATCTCTGTGTTGCAAGGAAAGGTTCCCTACTGGTTATATCAATGTCAATAGATCCAACCATATATCAGTCATGTACATTAAAACTTGTTTTAGCAATGTCTCCCTTTTATCAATGTCCCACACAGAATGTACTATACTGCTACTAACAGGTAGACTGGAATGTAGTGGGAGGGGGAGATGGAAAAAGGAAGAGAGAAAGGGAGAAAAGGTTAAATCAGTAAGAAGAGAGAGAAGAAAACTATCCATCAGTGAAAAACAGACCAGAAATCTGACTCTGTTGGAATTACTTTTTATAACTGAAGTAAAGCACTAGTATTGAGGGACTTTGAGAAAATATTTGTAGGAGTAGGAAAAGGGGTGCAGAGAGAGAGAAGTGTACAGCAATTGGAGATTGAGGGAAGCTGAGAGGATGTTAGATTCTGTTAATATGTTGATAATTAGCTTACTTTTGGATCCTCTGTACTCAGTTCTGGTGATATTACCCTGACATGCCCATGAAAGGTACTAGAGTATTTAGATTAAAGCACTAGTTAATTCTCATTTTCTTTTGCACATATACAGATATTTCCTGTTTATGCCAAATGAAAAGAAGAGAGCAAAGATAAAGGGAAAAGAAGGAGAGAAAAGGGAGGGAAAAAGGACATAGAAGAAATAAAAACAAATCCCCACACAGTTGAGACAAAATTAAAACACCTTCACAGTTCTGTTTATATTACAGTCTATTGAGTTCCACTAGTGCTCTGAAAACATGGTTTGTTTGGTCAAAGCATAGGAAACAATTGAGGTGCAAGGAGAAATTTAAATTCGTATGGAAGGAGAGCCATGAATGTTAGGTGGGGATGCAGGCCGCACACCAGTCACACCCAACTCTGTGTGAGGCACACCTGTGTAAACTGAGCAGTTATTATGGCCGAGGAACTTGTTTCTGGATGCTTTGTTACCCTGCCAAGAATTTTTTTGGGGAAATAGCATTTTAAAAATTATGTAAGAAATTCATGCTTACTCTGAAAGATATTGGGAAATGAAGGGAAAGGTATAAAGATCATTCATAATTCTACCACCCTAACCAGTGTTGTCATTTTCTTTTTACAAATTATTTCTATCCATACTCTTCCTTTTTTATTCTTCCCTTCTATCAATGTTAGAGTCATAATCCATGTGTAGTTACACATCTTGGCTTTTTTTTAAACCTAACATTCTATTTCCCTATGGCAGAAGAATTTCTTGGAAAATCTAGTATCATGTCAGGAGTACAGTGTAACTCATTTAGCTGTTTTCTTAATGTTGAGCAGATGATTACTTCTACTTATTTGTTGTATTAAGTCATCCCCTTGTTCATGCACAATGGTCCCTACTTACATTATGCATTCTTCCAAGTTCATGGATGAACTCATTTAATCCTCACAAGAGCACGAGGAGGTCAATGTATATTTATATCTCTATTTTACAGATGAGGAAATCAGACACAGTTAAGCAGCATGGACAAGCAATTTAACAGGAAGCAGAGTGTTTCCCCAAAGTTTTTTCTGCTTTGGGAAAACTGGGTCCAAACATATAAACATCAAGGCTATAGATATACATTAGGAAATTGTTTCAGAAAAATGTGTGATTCTTCTTGCATTTCCACAAGGCTCTAGCACTAAGGTTTTGACTTAGCAAGTGTTAGGCTGCTATCTAGATATCCCCACAAAGCCTCATGTGCTCATAGTTGGGGCTTTTTAGGAGTATTTGTGATACTGGTTTAAGCGATCAGTTTAATGATTGGTTTAAGTATAGTTCTGGGTGTGGTACCAACCAATAGGCTTGTAGCCTGGATGGAATAAAAATGCAAAGAAGAAGGAAGGCTCACTGCCTCCTGCCTACCCTGCCATGGACTGTTTCTCCTCTGCCATGCCCCTCTGCCTGGGTGCCCTGACTTAAAACAAAATATGGACTACAAAGTGTGAGCTAAAGTAAGCTATTCCTCCTTTAACTTGTAGGTGTCAAATATTTTGTCCCACAATGAGAAAGTAATGAAGACAGCAAGTTACTGGTGACTGTTTTCTTGAGGCTTCTGTGTGAGAGCAACTAATATACTGGGGACATGCTAACACCAAGTTCCTTCTCTGCATCTTTATGTAGAAACAAAAGCTACTGTGCAAATGAAGTTCTGGAATCTATACCTGTGTTACTGTAGGGAGTTAATAAATTCCCTTTTATGGCTTTGGTGCTGTAGGCTCTGCTTTTATACATTTAAGCATTTACCTGCGCTAGCATCCCTTCCTTACCTAATTGAGTTGTGTAGCAAATGTAATGAGGCTCAAAGTGTCCATTGTTTATTCTTTGGCAGAAGGAAAACTTGTGTTACCTTTGAGTGAAACAAACACGAAATGTTCTTTTATTCCCATATCCTTTGGCTTTTTGATTCACAATTTTCTTGTTGTTACTTCTTTATAAAACACTGAGTGTTAAGAAGGAGACCTCCTGGCCAGAGGGAACTTGTTTCTTTCTACAAAGAATGGCTTTTCTTTTCTTTTTTTTTGGTACCGGGGATTGAACTTGGGTTCTTGCACTTGCACAGCAGGCAGCGAAACCACTGAGCTAACTCTCCAGCCCTAAGAATGGCTTTTCTGAGAATCCTTCCAAATTATGTGATCAAAAGCAAACCACAGTACCAGCATGCTCATATCTATAGACTCCTACATCTTCATAACGTTATGCTGTGCAAAGGCCAGAGTACTGCTTGCAAAATGAGCTCACTGTGACATACGTAATCACTAGGAAGGAAAGTAGCTTATGCTCCATAAGGCTTATCAGACCCTTTCTGGCATAAGAGCTGGCAAATAATCATGAAGACATGAAATACTCAGTGTACATTTTCAAAACTGGGACAGGAGTGGGAAAGGATGGTGAGATCATATTGTATAAATAGCAGGTCACTTGAGATGGCATTGTGAATTCATGGATAAATAGAGAGCTACAGGGCAGTGGGGATAATCACCTGAGACAGTCCTTGTTTTGCTTATTTGTCCCAAGCTGGAGAGTGGCTATTCATCTATAGTTACACAAACAAAGCAAAACAAGAGAAAACAAAGTTGGAATCCAGTGTGGGGATTTCACAATCATACACATCCCCCTTGGGAATATTCTGCTTTGACATAACAAGAAATCCACTTATATTTGCAAAGGATCAGCCATGGACCCTGCTTCTGGAGCAAACAGACAAGGATTTAGTAAATCTTCTAAAAAGGAGTAAGTCCTAGAAGCCAGGTAAGAAAAAAAAAATCCCATCCCTAATGCAGGTGCTGCTGATCATATAATATGCAGGTACAGTTACTAAACCTTTGAGAGTAAGTGTTCATAGCAGGCAAACCTTGAACTGGAGTAACAAAATATATGCCCTTAAAACTGTCTTGTTAATGGTGGGTGCAGTGGTCACACTTGAAGTCCTAGCACTGTAGGAGGTTGAGGCAGGAGATTGGAAATTCAAGCCCAGTCTGGGCAATTTACCAGCTTAGAAATGGAAGGAAGGAAAGAAGGAAGGAAGGAAGGAAGGAAGGAAGGAAGGAAGGAAAAGAAAGAAAAGAAAGGCTGGTAGACACAACTCAGCAGTACAAAGGCTGTGGGCTCAATCTTCAGAATCACAAAAAGAAAAGAAAATTATTTTGTTAAACATACATTTTGAACAGATGATTAGCTTTTGATTCATAATAGGAAAGGGAATGATTCCTCACTCTTGGAGTTTCTGCCTTGTCTCTTTTTCCAAACCACCCCCCCACCAAAGGACAGTTTTCTGAGATTGAGAATTGTTTACAACACACTTATTGATCTAATGAAATGAAGCCTGTTTTCTAACATTCAGTGCGGATACAGTGAAGTTCTAAAACAATGACCTTTTTTTCTGCTTTCAGGCTGGCTCTCTGAAACTCTGAAGCCTGGTAATCCCACCCAGGAATGCCACCTCAGGGAAAGGAGGAAAGGAAGTGTCTGTCTTTTCCGGTCACCACTCCGATCTTCAGTTTTCCTCCTTATTTATTCTTTTTTGAAAAAAAGTTATTAAATACATCAACCTTTTACTTATGTTGTCTGATTTAATATCTGATTTAAAGGTACAGCTGAAGTGTCTCTTTTTAAAATTGGACATTTCATAGGCATTTAAAGGCAATGTTGCTTCAATATTTGAAACTTTTTGTGAAATATTCACTGGAGTGCTAGCATTATTTACTTAGGAACGTTGGATTTTAACCAGCTTTAGTCTACATAAAATAAGCTGTGAAACTAAGGGGCCAAAAACATACACTGGAGGAAAGACAGCTTTTTAATAAACAGTGCTGGGAAAATTGAATATCCACATGCAGAAGACTAAGTCTAGACCCATGTATCTCACCATGTGCTGAACTAAAAACAAAATGGACCAAAGAAATAAATATTAAAACAAACAAGCTGCTGAAAGAGAAAATAGGTAAAATTCTTGAAGATACAGTATTGTTGTAGGCAAGAACTTTCTGAACAGAAACCCAATGGCACAAGAAATAGTACCAAAAATCAACAAATGGGATCATATCAAATTTAAAAGCTTCTGCATGGCAAAAGAAACAACCAACAGAGTGAAGAAACAGCCTACAGAATGGAAAAAATTTTTGCCAGCTATTCCATGGATGGGGGAACTAACATTTAGAATATATAAAGAACACACACACAAAAATTAGACTGAAAAATAAAAGACCCAATCACAAATGAACAACTGGGCTGGGGATTTAGCTCAGTGGTGCCTCCACTTGCCTCACAAGCGCAAAGTCATGAGTTTAATCCCTGGCACCACCCTCCCCCCACAAAGGACAAATGAAATGAATAGACACTTCTCAGAAGAAGTACACATAGCCAATAAATACATGAAAAAATGTTCAATATCACTGGATATAAGAGAAATGCAAATTAAAACTACATTGAGATACCATTTTACCCCAGAAAGAATGGCTGTCATAAAAAAAAAAAATCAAGTAAGAAATGCTAGTGAAGATGTGGGGAAAAAAGAACTCTTTTACATTGTTGGTGAGAGTGTAAACTAGTACAATCACAAGGATATCAGTATGGAGATACCTCAAAAAACTAGAAACAAAAATTCCATTTGATCCCAGCTATCCTCCTCCTAGGTATCTTCCCAAAAGAGTTAAAATTATCATATTACAGGGATACATGCACGCCCATGTCTATAGCAGCACAATTTATAATGGCTAGATCTTGGAAACAGCCTATATGTCATCAATAGATAAATGGATAAAGAAAATATGGTATCTATACAGAATGGAGCACTACTGTACTGTAAAGAAAGATAAACTTGAATTCATAGGCAAATAGGTGCAGCTTGAGACCATAATGGTAAGTGAAATAAATCAGACACAAAAACTTAAATATCACATGGTTTCTCTTTTATGAGAAACCAGAGTGGGCCGGAGATTTAGCTCAGTGGTTCCGCCGCCTGCCTCGAGAAACCAGAGTAAAAATACAGAGCAAAATGAAAGATAGATAACAGGAAGTAGCGAGATAGAGCTTTCTCAAAGGAGAAGGGGATCAAGAGGTGGAGGGAGGGCAGAGGGAAGGAAGGGATAAAGGATGAAAAAGGAATTGAGATCCTTTATGTACATGTACCAACTCTACACAAGGAATGTAAACGTTATGTACTACAGACATGTACAAAAAATAATAAAAAGAAAGGATGGGTGGAGGGGGAGGAAGGAGAAAGAGAATGAAAAAGGAATTAAGATATGTTATATAAGGCCAGGAACTTAGCTCAGTGGTTTCGGTGCCTACTTCACAAACGCAATGTTCTGAGTGATCCCCAGTACCAAAAAAAAATGTACTCTTGTGGCCAGAGTTAATTTCTCAAAGTTTTTTTTTTTTTGTACCGGGGATCGAAATCGGGTCCTTGCACTTGGGAGTAAGGCAGTGGAGCCACTGAGCTAAATCCCTGGTGGCCAGAGTTAATTTTTGGGCTGGGGATTTAGCTCAGTGGTTCCACCGCCTGCCTCACAAGCGCATGGTCCTAGATGTCCCCCCAAAGCCTCATGTACTCATAGGTGGAGCTTTTCAGAGGTGGCTATACAGGTGTGAAAATAGGTTAAGGGTGTTCCATAACTGATTGGTTTAGCATAGTCATGGGTGTGGATGATGGGAAGGCCCACCCTGTGTGTGGCTGGCACCATCCAATAGGCTTGTATCCTGAATGGACTAAAAGGAAAAGGGAGGCTTACCACTTTCTGCCTGCTCTGTCATGGACTGTTTCTTCTCTGCTATGCCCCTCTGCTGTGCTGCCCTGCCTTGAAGCTAGGGACTTGAAACCTCTACAAACTGTGAGCTAAAATGTATCTCTTCTCCTTTAACTTATGGGTGTTGGGTATTTTGTTCCAGCAATGAAGAAGTAACTAAGACAACACATGTACCAGCTTCCAACAAGGAATGTAAACATTACATACTATACACATGTACTAATAAACTAAACTAAAATATTTTAAAAATATACTTAATATGTATGCTAATTTGTTTCATGTATACTAGTGTGTCGAAGAGAAAGTTTTGTGCTTTTATCTGTTTCTTTTTTGTAACAGTGAGTCTTTTTTTTTCTTTTTCTTTTTTTGGTACTGGGGATTGAACTTGGGACCTTGCTCTTCCGAGGCAGGCTAAATCCCCAGCCCAGAATGAGTCTTTTTGGTCTATGACTTGTACTCTAACATTTTGGCCGTTCTTTCAATATTAGGATACACAGCGTATTAACTATATTATTCTCTATTGGGTTATGAAATTATTTTATTTTTTTCACAGAAGAGTGATTTTTATATTTTCTTTATTAATTTGTTATGAAATTATTTTATTTTTTAGTAAAATTAGAAAAAGACATGACAACATTCACCTGAAAACACAACACAAATATACTGCAATACTGAAATTCCTCATGGAATAGCAGTGTAGATTATTAATTGTTCTGATTATGAGTAGAATTCAGG